TTTTTTTTATTTTAGTATCATTAATATGCAATTACATGAACAACACTGTGGTTACTAGATTCCACCCATAATCAAGTCCCCACCACATACCCCATTACAGTCACTGTCCATCAGTGTAGTAAGATGCTATAGAATCACTACTTGTCTTCTCTGTGCTATACTGTCTTCCCTGTGCCACCCCCCACATGATGTGTGCTAATTGTAATGCCCCTTATTTGCTGTCTCCCTCCCTTCCCATCCACCCTCCTTCCCCGACCCTGGATCCCTTCCCTTTGGCAGCTGTTAGTCCATTCTTGGGTTCTGTGAGCCTGCTGCTGTTTTGTTCCTTCAGTTTTTGCTTTGTTCTTATACTCCACAGATGAGTGAAATCATTTGGTACTTGTCTTTCTCCACCTGGCTTATTTCACTGAGCATAATACCCTCTAGCTCCATCCATGTTGTTGCAAGTGGTAGGATTTGTTTTCTTCTTACAGCTGAACAATACTCAATTGTGTATATGTACCACATCTTTTTTATCAATTCATCTACTGATGGATATTTAGGTTGTTTCCATTTCTTGGCTTTTGTAAATAGTGCAACAGTATACATAGGGGTACATATATCTTTTTGAGACTGGGAAACTGCATTCTTAGGGTAAATTCCTAAGAGTGGAATTCCTGGGTCAAATGGTATTTCTATTTAAAGTTTTTTGAGGAACCTCCATACTGCTTTCCACAATGGTTGAACTATTTTACATTCCCACCAGCAGTGCAGGAGGGCTTCCCTTTCTCTGCATCCTCACCAGCATTTGTTACTCCTATTCTTTTCTGTGTTGGCCATCCTAGCTGGCATGAGGTGATATCTTATTGTGGTTTTAGTTTGCATTTCCCTTATAATTATCCATGTGGAGTATCTTTTCATGTGCCTGTTGGCCATCTGAATTTCTTCTTTGGAGAATTGTCTGTTCATATCCTCTGCTCATTTTTTAATAGGGTTATTTGCTTTTTGGGTGTTGAGGCAATGAGTTCTTTATATATTTTGGATGTTAATCCCTTGTCAGATTTGTCATTTATAAATATATTCTCCAATACTGTAAGATGCCTTTTTGTTCTGCTGATAGTGTCCTTTGCTGTACAGAAGCTTTTTAATATGATGTAGTCCCATTTGTTCATTTTTTATTTTGTTTCCCTTGCCTGAGGAGATGCGTTCAGGAAAAAGTTGCTCATGTTTATATTCAAGAGATTTTTGCCTATGTTTTCTTCTAACAGTTTTATGGTTTTATGACTTATATTCAGGTCTTTGATCCATTTTGAGTTTACTTTTGTATATGGAGTTAAGATAGTAATCCAGTTTCATTCTCTTATATGCAGCTGTCCAGTTTTGCCAACACCAGCTGTTGAAGAGGCTCTCATTTCCCCTTGTATATCCATGGCTCCTTTATCATATATTAATTGACTATATATCCTTGTGTTTATATCTGGGCTCTTTAGTCTATTCCATTGGTCTATGGGTCTGTTCTTGTGCCAATACCAAATTGTCTTGATTACTGTGGCTTTGTAGTATAGCTTGAAGTCAGGGCGTGTAATCCCCCCACTCTTTATTCCTCCTTCTCAGGATTGCTTTGGCCATTCAGGGTCTTTTGTGTTTCCATATGAATTTTAGAACTATGTGCTCTAGTTTGTTGAAGAATGTTTTTGATATTTTGATAGGGATTGCATTGAATCTGTAGATTGCTTTAGGCAGGATGGCCATTTTGACAATATTAATTCTTCCTATCCATGAGCACAGGATGTGTTTCCATTTATTGGTATCTTTAATTTCTCTCACAAGTGTCTTGTGGTTTTCAGAGTATAAGTCTTTCACTTCCTTGGTTAGGTTTATTCCTAGGTATTTTATTCTTTTTGATGCAATTGTGAATGGAATCGTTTTCCTGATTTCTCTTTCTGCTGGTTCATTGTTTGTGTATAGGAAAGCCACAGATTTCTGTGGATTAATTTTGTATCCTGCAACTTTACTGAACTGAGATATTAGATCTAGTAGTTTTGGAGTGGATTCTTTGGGGTTCTTTATGTACAATATCATGTCATCTGCAAATAGGGACAGTTTAACTTCTTCCTTGCCAATCTGGATGCCTTTTATTTCTTTGTATTGTCTGATTGCCATGGCTAGGACCTCCAGTACTATGTTGAATAAGAAGTGGGGAGAGTGCACATCCCTGTCTTGACAGCTCTCCTTTTTAATACCTTGAACAAATTCTTGCTCCCCAGATGGTGCTGCTCTGGCTTAGTATGTAAATTTTATTTTTCTAACTCAGACAAAAAATCACCCACATTTAAAAGACCACATGTTTCTAACTGTATATTGGCAGTACATTGTCTAATAATTTTGCTTTTAAACTCCCTCTACAATTTTTATTTTTGCCTTGGCCATCCTCCTTCACCTCTCTGACCCCCTGACATGCTGTCACTGCCGTCTTTTGTTTTCCCATCGCTCCTTCTTTCCTATTTCCTCCATTCCTCCCATCTCCTTTCTTTCCCTCCTTTATTTCTCTCTAAATAGTTTACCTGGTTGCTATTAATTCTTCTTTTTTACTGGTCTTAATATCTCAAAAACTGCATTTTTTGCGTGTTTTGTCTCTTTTCAATATTAATACTGATAATTTTCCCAGTAAAACTTTGCATTCACTCCTTAAGCATGGTCCTTTACTAAGTTTGTTAGATACTTTTAGATGGGGAAAAGAAATCTATTGCTTTTCTTATGAAATAACTTAGAAGGAACACGTTTCCTTTATTTTTAAGGTAAGTTATAAATGAGGGTGCATTCTAACAATGACAAGTATTAACATAAATGTAGCAGACATTCCATAGGAGTTTTGGTATAGGTTTCTATATAAAAGTCAATCTAGCCCCAAAAATTTGGTGAAATTACTCTGCAGTTCAGAAATTATGCTTTAGAAATTAAACATATGGACCATGTTTTATAAAAATAAATCTTAAGGATAAATTTCTGAGGAAGAAATAAGATTATAATATTTGTATTGCCTTCATAACAGCTTATCTTTTTCTTCTCTTTCTTCCATTATCTCCAACTATGTTTTCCACAGATTTACTTTTTATGTTTATTCAAAATTACATTTCAGAATAATAAAATGTGCTTTGTGGAGGCATAGTAATTCTCTAATTCAGAGAGGGCGAGAGCAATGCTGTGGCTGATGGCGCTGGACTTCTTCCTACAGCTCTTAGGCAGTTCCTGCTCTTCTCATCCGAAGTGGCTGTTCGTGGCATCCCATTCAACCTCTCTACTCAGGAAGATGTCATACTTCCAGTGACAGAAATGCCTTCTTTCTTTGTTGGAATTGATTTTGATGCCTGGGAGAACACTATCTTTTATTCAGATACATCAAAACACATAATCTTTAAACAATATGTCAATGGCACAGGTGAGATGGATTTTGCAAATTTTTTTGAATGTGTTATCCATTTTCAGTATTAATACTAATAATTCTCCCAGTAAACCTTTGCATTCACTTCTTAAGCATGGTCCTTTACTAAGCTTGTTAGATACTTTTAGATGGAGAAAAGAAATCTATTGCTTTTCTTATGAATTATCTTGAAATAAACACTTTTCCTTTATTTTCAAGGTAAGTTCTAAATGAGGGTGCATTCTAACAATGACAAATATTATCATAGATAGAGAAGACACTCTGTAGAAGGAGAGTCGGGTGTATGAGTTAGTTGACTAGAGGCTGTTCCTCATATTTAAGCAAGCAAGATTGAAGCAATGGGATGACCTCTCTTTAAGGGATGTTGGGCTACCTTAAAGCTGGGCTTGGAATAATAGTAATTCTTTAAAAAGGCATGAATTGTATGTAAATACAGATTTACATTAAGTTTTTAATTGAATGGAATTCTGTTACATTTTCATAATCATCACAGAAAGATAAATTACAGTCAGTCACACTTTACTGTTGGGGTACTTTGATTTTACAACTAACTAATGAGTTGAAACTGACAATTTGAAAAAATTGAAAGCCAGTATAACAGCAGCGATAAGGACCTGCTCAGGAGCTACACTGCCCGGTTTTGAATCCTGCCTTCTTTCATTTCATAGTGGTGTAATCTTGGGGAATTTACTTAATTTCTTTATGCCTATTTTCCTGATCTGTTAAAAAGGATTAAGAATACAGTACTACATAGCTCATAAGCTTGAGAGAATTTTAGGCTGATACATGAAAAACACTTTTAGTAATGACTGGAAAATAGTAAATATTCAGTAAATGTTAGCAATTATTATGGTTGTTTTTAGTAAAAAGCCATATTACCGTGTTCTATCCTGTCCCCGACCCAGACTTGCTCTTCAAGAGTAAATTGCCTGCCATTCTTAGGGGTTTCTTCTATTATTTGTCTCCATGTTTCTAAATATTTTGCTTATAATTCTGTTTTTTTGATTTGTTATTTTAGACATTTACGTCCTTGTTATAGATGAGAATTTAGCTCTCTTACATTCCTACCCTGATTCTCCCTAAAACCTAGATGGTAATTTTTTATTGAGTTGGTAGTAGCTGTTTATATTATTAATATAGTATAAATATTAATATTCTCTGCTAAGCCAAGTAGTATTCTGTGATGATATTTCTTGAACAATTTTTTATTTTTTACTGGAGTTAACAATTTCCCTATCTTCATTTGTTTAGTTTTCTATTTAACTTTCACGTATTTTCCTCAGTGCTCCAACAGATCTATCAAATGCTTTATCTATCTATCTATCTATCTATCTATCTATCTATCTATCTATCTACTGAATGCAAATGATCTCAAGTATTTTCCCCTCTGTAAACTTCTATCCCCTGTCCCAGTTCATTTCTCTTTGAATCTGGTTCACAGCTCTTGTCTTCTCACTTCTCTTCACCCCATTCCTGTGCTGGGTCTTCTGTTTCTACAGGACATTTATTTCTCTTTCAAGATTTATTTCCTCACTCTGCTGAAACACATGATATAGAAGCTTCTTAAGAAGAATTAGTAGAGTGGTATGTTTTTTGAGTTATTAAATGTCCAAGAGTGTTTTTATTTTGCCTTCCATCTTGACTGGCTGGGTATAGAGTTATAGGGTGAAAGTAATTTTATCCCAGACATTTGAAGAAATTGCTCCACCTTCTTCTAGTTTGCAGAGTTGAGAGTCCAGTGCCATTTGGAATGCCATTTTATTGTATATGACTTTTTTTGAACTGTTATTGTTGACGTTTTATTTTCATTCCTTTTTGGGAGATTTTAGGACCCTTTTGTATCCCTTTAATCTTGAGATTTATGTCTTTCTAGTGTGAAGAATTTTCTTGCCTCTGTTTTTTTCTAATCTCTCTGTAACTCTTAATGGTAAAATGTTTGATTAATCATCTACTTTTTTTCTTATCTTTTATCTTTAATATTTTATTTTACTTCCTATGAGATTTTTTTGGCATTTTAGTTTTCACCCTTTCTATTGAATAGTACCTTTTTATTCTCTGATTATTCCTTTATTCATAAAATGTGTTCTTGTTTCATAAATTCAGTATTTTATGCCACTGTATAGATGTGTGACATCTTTACCCATTTATCTATTGATGGACACTTCAGTTGTTTCCATATTTTGTCTATTGTAAAAAGTAATACAATGGAATATAACTTATCCATAAAAAAGAATGAAATCTTGCTGTTTGTGAGAACATAGATGGACCTAGAGGTTATTATGCTAAGTGAAATAAGTCAGAAAGAGAAAGACAAATTTCACTTACATGTGGAATCTAAAAATAAAAAAAAAGAACAAGCAAAACAGAAATAGACTCACAAATACAGAGAACAAATTGGTGGTTGCCATAGGGGAGGGGGATGGAAGGATGGATGAAATAGAAGATGATAAAGAGTTTCAAACTTCCAATTATAAAATAAATGTCACAGGGATGAAAAGTACAGCATAGGGAGTATACTCAATAATATCATAATAGCTATTTATGGTGACCAGATGATAACTATACTTATTGTGGTGAGCATTTCATCATGAATATATGTCAAATCACTGTGTTGCATACATGAAACTAATATAATATTGTATATCAACTATATTTCAATGAAAAAAGAAAAATGATCAATTCTTCTCTGAAGATATGAATTACCTAAAGAAAATTAATACTCCATACCACAGAAATGCATAGAATCATAAGAAACTAATATGAACAATTATATGGCAACAAATTACATAACTTAGAAGAAACTGGTACATTTCTAGAAATGTACAATATACCAAGAGTGAATTAGGAAGGGATGGAAAACCTTAGCAGACCAATAACAAGTAAAGAAATTGAATCAGAAAAAAAAAAAAAACTCCCAGTACAGAAAACTCCAGACACAGATGTCTTAACTGGAGAATTCTACTAAACATTTAAAGAAGAATTCATACCAATCCTCTTTAAACTCTTCCAAAATACTGAGGAGGAGAGAATGCTTCCAAATTCATTCTATGAGGCCAGCATTACTTTGATACCAAAACCAGGTAAGAATGCCACAAGAAAGAAAACTATAGGCCAATATCCCTGAGGAATATAGATGCAAAAATTCTCAACAAAATATTACCAAACCGAATTCAAGAACACATTAAAAGGATTATATACCATGACCATAGAACTTATCACTGTAATGAAAGGATGGTTCAACATACTCAAGTCAAAAATGTATAATATATATTTATAATATATAAAAAATATATACAAATACATAATATATCACATCAATAAAGTGAAAGATAAAAATCATATGATCATCTCAATAGATGCAGAAAAAGCATTTGTTAAAATACAACATGCTTTCATGATAAACACCTGTAACAGACTGGGTATTGATGGAACATATCTCAACATAAGAAAAGCCATATGTAACAAATCCATAGCTAACATTATACTCAGTGGGAGAAATTGAAAGTGTTTCTAAAATCAGGAACAAGGCAAGCATGTCTGTTATCTCCACTCTTATTTCAATATATATATAGTAATGGAAGTCTTAGCTAGAGCAATCAGGCAAGAAAAAGGAGTTAAAGTCTTCACAATCAGAAAGGATTCTAAATAGTTTACCTGGTTGCTATTAATTCTTCTTTTTTACTGGTCTTAATATCTCAAAAACTGCATTTTTTGCGTGTTTTGTCTCTTTTCAATATTAATACTGATAATTTTCCCAGTAAAACTTTGCATTCACTCCTTAAGCATGGTCCTTTACTAAGTTTGTTAGATACTTTTAGATGGGGAAAAGAAATCTATTGCTTTTCTTATGAAATAACTTAGAAGGAACACGTTTCCTTTATTTTTAAGGTAAGTTATAAATGAGGGTGCATTCTAACAATGACAAGTATTAACATAAATGTAGCAGACATTCCATAGGAGTTTTGGTATAGGTTTCTATATAAAAGTCAATCTAGCCCCAAAAATTTGGTGAAATTACTCTGCAGTTCAGAAATTATGCTTTAGAAATTAAACATATGGACCATGTTTTATAAAAATAAATCTTAAGGATAAATTTCTGAGGAAGAAATAAGATTATAATATTTGTATTGCCTTCATAACAGCTTATCTTTTTCTTCTCTTTCTTCCATTATCTCCAACTATGTTTTCCACAGATTTACTTTTTATGTTTATTCAAAATTACATTTCAGAATAATAAAATGTGCTTTGTGGAGGCATAGTAATTCTCTAATTCAGAGAGGGCGAGAGCAATGCTGTGGCTGATGGCGCTGGACTTCTTCCTACAGCTCTTAGGCAGTTCCTGCTCTTCTCATCCGAAGTGGCTGTTCGTGGCATCCCATTCAACCTCTCTACTCAGGAAGATGTCATACTTCCAGTGACAGAAATGCCTTCTTTCTTTGTTGGAATTGATTTTGATGCCTGGGAGAACACTATCTTTTATTCAGATACATCAAAACACATAATCTTTAAACAATATGTCAATGGCACAGGTGAGATGGATTTTGCAAATTTTTTTGAATGTGTTATCCATTTTCAGTATTAATACTAATAATTCTCCCAGTAAACCTTTGCATTCACTTCTTAAGCATGGTCCTTTACTAAGCTTGTTAGATACTTTTAGATGGAGAAAAGAAATCTATTGCTTTTCTTATGAATTATCTTGAAATAAACACTTTTCCTTTATTTTCAAGGTAAGTTCTAAATGAGGGTGCATTCTAACAATGACAAATATTATCATAGATAGAGAAGACACTCTGTAGAAGGAGAGTCGGGTGTATGAGTTAGTTGACTAGAGGCTGTTCCTCATATTTAAGCAAGCAAGATTGAAGCAATGGGATGACCTCTCTTTAAGGGATGTTGGGCTACCTTAAAGCTGGGCTTGGAATAATAGTAATTCTTTAAAAAGGCATGAATTGTATGTAAATACAGATTTACATTAAGTTTTTAATTGAATGGAA